CTGCTTCCCAGAGGCCAGGCCCTTCTCACTGCACTGGCTACAACCATACCTCGGCCCTCAGCCACACTCTCCAGAATCTTCTCTTCTTCTTTCAGCTGCTTCTCCTTGGCCGACTCTTTGCGGGCTGAGAGAAGCAGCATTTGTCAAATAGGCACAAGCACCAGACTCCCCCCTCATTCCTAGGCCCAGCTGCTCAGTGCACCTTCAGCCTTCTCTTTGAGGTGCTGGTGCTGGTCCAGTAGGCTGACGTTGGACTGAGGGCCCAGTGGAATATCGTCCTCATCGCCCCGGGGCTCGCTGCCGCTGTCTTGCTGTTCCTCCTCTGCAGCCCCCTTGCGCCTTCGCTGTAGCAGCTTCTGGAGCTAAGATTCCCCCAGCAACCCTCAGAGTCAAGCTCAAGACAAAGTGGGGGATCGGGTCCAGGGGCATTGCCTCAGGATCCTTCCTGGCTTTTGGTCGAGGGTCCCGGTCCCCCATGCAGAGCTGCCCTATCATTCAGATCGAGCACCCACACCCTCGTTTGCCTGGGATCACAACTCCCGTAACTTGACTGTCATATTAAGTAATTTCAACTTCACTGGGGAGTTTTGGAGGAAAAAATTGACACTCCACTCCTCAAGCTGCAACTGCCCCCCTCCGTAGACTCCGGGCCATCCCTAGATCTTACAGTCCTCATTCATCCTCCGATCCCGGCCCCTCACCAGCAGTTGCCGTCGCTGCCGCAGCGGCACATAGGGTACGTAGTCTTCATCGTCCTCATCCTCCGCCTCGGAGCGGCTTCCTCCGGCAGTAACCTCATCGGTGCGAGCCCGCTGAAGATACATTCGAGTCAGGCCTGGCCACCCAGCCTTCACTACCGATCCCCACCCGCGTTAACCCCAGCCTCAGTCTCACCTTGCGCTCTGGTTCTGAGTCCTCCATCCTTTACTGTACGCATGCGCGCCACGACAAAGCCCCGCCTCACCTTTCAGTGAGATCCAATCAGATGTGGATAAGAGGACGTCGGTGCCTAGCAACGACCTCTGAGGGCCGGGTCGCGCAGAGGGACAAACTTTCTCCTGGGAGGCTCTCGTACAGTGCTGCGTCAACGCCCCATGTGTGGCTTCCGCAGCTGTTGCTAGGGTTGAGGGAGGAGCTGTCAGGCAAGGCATTATAGGCCGCTGGAGAATTTGGAGTATGCGCTAAAGGCTCAAAGCAAGCCCGGTAGAAGAGGAGGAGTCTGAGTGGAGGCGGCTAATCTGGAACCGAAGGCTGTGGGTTCGGTTTACAGCCTCGTTCGGGACATGACGTCATCCAGGCACGTCCTCGCGGGCAGACGCCGCACCATCTCGTGGCCTGGGAGCCCTAGGGCAGGGTACGCTGGTGTCCAGCCTGTGTTGCCATCCCCGGCACTGGACGGCCGGGGAGGGGTGGGGCTTGCGGAATTAAAGACCCAACCAGCAGGGTCTCCCTTAGTGCCTTCCTCGTCTGTGTGAGACACCTTCGTTCAGAGTTGTGAGGGTTAAATAGGATTCTGATGACAGTGACATTTAACTGAGACTCCGTACATGTGTAAACGATTATTATTCTAAGAACTGTAATAAAGCTCAGAGTGACTAAGCGCCTGGGAAACCTGTGAAGGTTTTGATGAGGAGACGCTGTGTCTGAACCTGAAGGGAAATGTAGGAAACTCTGCGCAGGAAGTGGTGGAGAGGAAGGGAGGCTTTCACGTAGAGGGTGCAGCAGGAGTGAAGGCTGGCCATGTCTAAGTACGGAGTTCTCAGGGAACAAAGAGCATCGCAGCTGGAGTTGAATTGGGGGTCATCAGAGATGAGGCTGGAACCGTAGATTGGGCCTAGAGCAGAAAGGGCCTTGACTGTCATACTAAGTAATTTCAGCTTCACTGGGGAGTTCTAGAGGAATTCCTTCACTCATATTTAATGAGAACCTACTGTGTTATGGGCACACTGCATAGTGCTGAAGCAGATCAAAGATGAACAAGACACGAACCTATCTTGAGATTAAGGAGAAATAGAAGACAAAGCACCACTTTGGTTAGTGTCACCAAGGCAGGGCAAATTAATTCTCCATTCATAGCAAAAATGTCCTCTAACCTGGGATATGCAGGGACTCATGAAGGAAGGGTAACCTGAGAAGTGGGAAAGGAGACTTCAGGATGCTGGGTCTAAATGGGGAGCTAAGGCTGTCCAGCCTGGGTGGAAGGAGTGCAGTGCTGGAGGAAGGGCCCAGGCATGAAGGGCCCTAAACACCACTCAAAGAAGTCTTTCTCTGTAGGTGAAAGGGACTGCTTGATCAGAGTTGCAACTTTAGAATGATGCAGACTTTTAGATAACTGTGTCAGTGAAACCGTAGGGCAGGAGGAGCCTGGTACAACCGTTGAAGGGAGAGAGGACCACAGCTAAAATTAGAGAAAGGTTTCACAGGAAAGTGTCCACACTTCCTTGAGGATTGGGAAAGGCCAGGGACCAGGGATTGTGAGCCTGTGGTTAATGCTGTTTTTGTTTCATGTCTTTTGAATCTTCTGAAGAGGAAGTTGGCACTCATTGCCAGCCTCATAGTGCCCCCAAGTGGGACTCAACTGGGGGTAAGGGGGAAGAGGGGAAGAAGTGGCTTCTGATCCTGCTTATAACATTTCATAATGGGTTTAGTAGTCACTAAAGTAGCAGTGTGGCCACTGCTCCCACAAGGCACTCCCCACATAAGCTCAAGTTAAGAGTTGGTTTCAATAGAGAAAACTACACTGAGGAGAAGTGTATGTGAGGCATTTTTAGTAAACTCATTATATTAAAAACCTGAATTGACAAACCAGGTCACTTTGGGCAGGATGAAGTAAGTTTGCTTTACTTAACCATAGGGTTCATTATCCTTAACTCTCAAGTACTTTGGTCTGTGCCCCATTTCTGTGAGAAAGATCCAATTTATTAACATTCAATTTACCCCCAATTCCCCAACTTCATTAATTCCATGTGAAGAACCTCCAAGGCCTCAGCTGCAGGTGTACAGTCCAAAAGGCTTCAGAAAGCCTTTCCCAGCTATGAAGCCTCTCTTACCCATCTTGCAAAAGGGGAAATGGAGGCACAGAGTGGCAAAGGGGCTGCTCCAAGTTCACATACCAGAGTCTTCCCCACAGGAGAAAAGTGCAGAGATGCTGGAGTCATAAGGGCCTGCGCCCTAACCCTAGTGGACCAGACTGAGCTTAGTTGAGTCACTTTCCTTATTTGTTTCCTCATCTGTAAAATGGGGTAAAACAGTACCACTAAGATTGTTGCAAGGGTTGGGTGGAAATTATGCCTAACTCCAGACATGTAGGACATGCTTAGTGGGGTAGTGACTAAGGGCAGATTGGTGTACATCCCTCATCTCATTTCCCACTCAGACAAGCACAAACACACTAACTGTGTCCAAATGTTGCTTTATCTTTCACCATGAAAGATCTTCACAGTATCAAAAGTAAAGAATTGAAAAAACAAAACAAAAAAAAACCAAACACAAAAAGATCAGTGTTGGGCCAGCAGTACCATCAGCCCCCTGCCCACAGGCCAGCCCAGTTCCAGGCTCTGAGTATGGAGGCTGCGTAGCACCAGGAAGCGACTCTGTGGAGGTCCAGAGGGGCTCCAGCACAGTCCGGCATCCATTCAGCTTTTGGTTGGTCCAGGATGGTAGGGAGCAAGGAAGTCTTGGGCACGTGGAGGGAGAAACCGTAGACCTTCAGCTGGCAGTCAGGGTCTCAGGACCTAAAGGACCTTGACCTGGCAGAAGATGAGAAAGAATAAAGAATGTGACCACACAGTGAGTGACGGTCTCACAATCTCCATGCTGGGACCCCACTGTGGCAGAAGCTGCTGGCTGGTACTTTTGTTCCCTAGGTTACAAGAGGAATTGCATTTTTGTTAGTGTCACCAAGACAGGGCAAATTAATTCTCCATTCTCCGAAAGTGGCCTATAGGCTGGGATGTGCAGAGTATTCAGGGACTCATAAAGGAAGAGTAAACTGAGAAGTGGGAAAGGAGACTTGAGGATGGTGGGTCTAACTGGGGAGCTGAGGTTGTCCAGCCTGGGTGGAGGGACATGCAGAATATCACCCTACATTTCAAGGAACAGGAAACAATCCTGGAGGAACCCAAGACCTCCTGCTGTAACCATTCCTTCCAGGCCAGGGTGGTAAGACATCAGTCTCTGGCATTTGCTCTGGCATGTGGTCAACAGGTACCAGAGGCGGCTAGCTACGCAATGACTCCCATTTCAGAATCCAGGTACAAAGGTCTGGGCCAGGTCCTGATGCCATATCAGCACCGTGTACTGATAACACTCAGGGCTCCAATGCTGCCCCAAGGAGGCTGGAGAGGATCACAGGGGAGGACTTAGGTGGGAGGTAGAGAGATGTGCCTTAGAAAAGGGATCACCCAAGATGGGAAAGGAGCAGCAGGAGTGGGAGCAGATGGCTTGCTGAGGTTTCCTGGATGACACTGGAATCAGGCTTGTGGGAGGAGACGTGACCTTATGGGGTGGAGAAGAGAGGCAGAGGGGTACCTTAGCCCTAGACACAGTTCTCAACTGCTGCATGGAATGGCTGTTTTGAGAGTGCTCCCAGCACCTCCAGGCCAAAATGACTTCTATGGCTTGGTCTAGCTCTCTGCCCCCCTTTCAGGGCTGGCCCCTTCTCTCACAGCTTCAGCTAGAAGTATCCTGTCACCTCCATCTAGGAACCAGCCCCAGCAAGTAAGATTCAACCCCAAGGCTGGACTGTGTTGGGGTATGGGCAGGCCCCCTTCAGAGGCACAGGCAGGAGAAGCTAGGAGAGGCCGTGGGAGAGCAGAGGCTGAGGGGTGAATGTTCTTTGGAGAACAGATGGAGCCTAGAATTGCAGAGAGGTAGCCCATATGCTGTTGCTGTGGAGGCACAGGAGCCAGAGCTGCCAACCCGAAGTCTCCCTGAGCCCCAGAACATGAAATGGTGTGGCAGAAAGCACAGAAGGTGGCAGAACACTGGGTGTCTTTACCTCACTGAGCTGTGTTGGGAGTGGTTTTCTTGAGGCTGAAGTTGGTCCAGTTCACAGCAACTTTCTGACGTGTTTGTTTTGCAGAATCCAAACAGAACCTGTGGGGTATGGAAATGTAACACAAGTGCAATCAGAGGTTCCCTGTCACTTTGTGGGACCCCTCTTCTGGACTCCTGTGTCCCTTGGTCACTAAGGAAGCCAGGCTGGCTCTGCAAACCTTCTCTGGAACCTAGGCGTTGGTGTCCAATAGGTATGGGAGTTTGCTGACTGGGGGGCTTGAATGCATAAAGAGAGCAGAAGCTGTCTTGGGATTAGGCTCCCTCTGCATCCTTTAGCTATACTGGGTTGCTTCCATCCCCTAAGTATGCCATTTTCCTTTGCCCTCCAACGTTTGTACTTGCTGTCCCCACTGTCATGAGGGCCCTTTCCTATTTTACATGGTTAGCTTATTCTCAGTCTTCAGAAAATCCTGGTTTCTGTTTGGTTGTCACCTCTTCTGGGAAGATGTCCTTGGCCTGCCCCTATCTCTCAGCTTCTCCCACAGCCCCATGACCTTGCCACATCAACAGCACTCATCACGGGTTCCCCGTTTAAGGATGTCTCTCCCTGTCCAGATTGTGCTTGATTTACCCATCCCCAGAGCTCAGCTCAGGCCAAGAGCAGAGGGAGTCAAATGACTAGACAATGTGAAGAGCTAGAAAAAGGCCTGGCTCCTGGGGCCTGACATGCCTCCTCCCTCCATTCCCCACTCCGTCCTCTGACACCCAGTCCTGTCAACTGGCTCAGTGGGTTTCAGCAGATAGGCTGTGGGGACAGCTGTGCCCTCTCAACTGTGCTCTGGCAGTTGGCAAAATGGAGTGGGCTGAGGGAACAAAGCTTTCTGAGGCCCAAGGCACAAACTGGGGCTCAAGCCTGGGCTGGACCTAGAAGCCCAGGTGGGTGAGTGAGCAGGCACCTCCCACACCTACCTCTTAAAGTATTCCACTTCCCGGTCTGTCTCATCCATCTCCACTCCATCCATGTCCTTGGGCAGGAACACATCGTCTAGGAAGACACAGCCAGGAGGGCTCAGTGCCCATGGCTGGGCCTCTGGGGTCATGCTCTTGGGATAGTGCTGCCCATGTGTGAGGACTGCCCTCCACCCCATGGCCTGGCTGGGGTTGGGGGGTCAGCCACTCAGTTCCTGGGGCACTCACCCAAGGAAGAGGCCGACTTCTCCTGCTTGTTGCGGCTCCGGCGGCTGCGACCCTTGCCCTGTGGCAAGCTCTGTGCCCTTGCTGGGCCTGGGGGCTGCACAGACTCTTGCTCTGGGAGCCGAGCCTTGGTCTCACTGGGCCAGTGTCGCCAGGAGCTGCCCTTCTCCTTCTCAGCTTTGGGGCTGCCAGCCCAGCTTGATCCTGGCCGGCTCCCCCGGCTCCCCTCTCCAGCCTCAACATAGCTGCCCATTTTGGGAGCCTCTGGGGCTTTGCTCGGCTGCTTGGAGCCAGGCGTCTGGCCCTTGGCACTGGCAGCCTCTAGGCTGGCTGGGAGCCGGGGGCATGGGCTTGCTTCACTCTTCTTGGCCTGACTGCCCTGTCTCTTGCCCTTCCGAGGCTTCCCACCTGAGGCCACAGGCTCAGGCAGCTCCTGCTTGCAACCAAGGACCTCCTTTGGGCTTGTGTCCTCAGAGATGGGGTTGCCTGCCTTGGGGGTCTTGACCCAGATCACCCGGGACAGGTTGGGCACAGTGTTGAGCCTCCGCACTAGGCCGTTCTCTGGTACAATACCAGGAGGAGGGCCCCTCACCTCTGTCCATGATGGGTGGGGGCCTCTCATTTCTGCCCATGGTGAGGCTGGCTCCCCTGAAGCTTGTAACGTGTGGTTCTGGGGGGAGCCCAAAGTCAAAGGGGACAGGTCAAGGTTGATATCAGGCCGCTGCTCTGAGGACCCGTTGAGGTCTGAAGGGGGCCGACTCTGGGGTTTGGGTTCAGCAGCCCCATCCTTTGTGTAGCCATTGCTGTCCATGCTGAGCTCACATACACTGAAGCTGGCCCGGATGGAGTCCTTGACAGTGTTCTTGATCTCCTGCAGACGGCTGCTCAGGAAGTTGTTGACTCGGTCCAGCTCCCGGTCAGGCCACTCCAAGAGCCTCTCCTTGGCAGGCCTCGGCTCCCGGCTTCCAGAAATACTGTGATGTGCCTGCTTTAGGGCTTCTGCCGCTAACTGGGCCTTCTCCTATCAATACAAGAGGCAGTGTCGGCAGGGGCCTGGCAGTGGCCAGGCACAATGTGTGACACCCAACACATCAGCCTAGTGCCCCATTTTGCCACTCACCGGCTGAGGCAGAGCCCCAGCCCTCTGCCTGCTTGCCCACCCTGCAGGAATGAGAAGAAATACACTTGAACAGGTGCATGTCCTGGGGGCAGAAGTAGAGATAGACACCAGCAGAGATCAGGCTTGCCAGCACGTTCATCCAGGGCTCCAACAAATCCTTAGCCTAGGAAGGCCAGGAGCCAAGGGGTAGGAACTTCAATCAGTGGCTCTCGCCTCCCAGGGCTGAGTATGTGTGAGCTTGAGCAGCTCACATACTTGCTGGGTATCAGTGGACTCACCTGTAAAATGGGGACAATAATTCTGGATTGAAGACCAAAAAGAGTTTGCCTATGAGGAAGATGGCTACTACAGAGGCATTCATTCTGTAGGTGGGAGGGGAAAAAATTCATGTAAGAAGATGAGGGGGCATGAGATTGTCACAGAAGATAAGTATGCTCTGGTTGGCCAGAAATATGACACTGTGAGTGGGGACGGTGATAGTGGGCAAGGTTTCCTTAGAAAGGTTCAGCTGGTCCCAAGTCATCAAGGCCACACCTAAAGTGTGCTCTGTAGCATACAATGGGCCTTCAATGTGAGATGTAACAGCAGCCCTTTTGACCAGGTGATGACAAGAGGCATGAGACAGGCTAGAGGTGGCCAATCAGCTCTGCCAGACCCGGATCAAGATAGTCAAAATGAAAGTCTGTAGCCTACCCTGTGCCAGCAGGCCAGTAAGGCTTCATAGGGAGACATGAGATAGCATAACCTGTGGGAAATGGGTGGTAGTGGTACACCAGGGGCTGGATATCTTCTAACACTGCATATTATTTTAGTTGATCTGGGAGTAGAGAAGGAAACAGGAAAAGAAAACTGGGAAAGGAAAGAAAATTGCCACATCTGAGCCAACTTTGGCAGGGTGATTTTGTGCCTGGTAGGCAAGCACTTAGCCTTGTCTTTTTTGAACTCTGGCTCTATAACCGACTAGTGGTGGGACCTTGGACAAATCACTTATTCTCTCTGAACTTTACCTTCCCCACGTGTAAATTAGGGAGAAAGGTACTTATACTCAACAGGCTTGCTATGAGGAACCTGAGAGAGCATGCGGCATCCTCATCCCTGGGTGTGGAGGCTGCCCCAGCACCATGATGTGAAAGTGAGGGCGCTCCGCCTGGAGCTGCGTTCCCAGTGGTCTACAAAACTCTCAGGTCATAGGGATGGATGAGCAACAGGGGGACCCATCAACCATCTCCTCTCATTCACCAGAAGAGCTTTGCTTTTTCTGTTATAAACAGAGGTTTCACGTGAAATTTCATTCACAGAAAAGAGTTTTGCTGCTAAACCAAAGAGCCTGAAAAAGGTATAGAGGGAGCAATATGGAACCATCTACAATCTGGCAGCAAGGAAGAAGGCACAAAAACACTTATTTTCTGCACTTAACTCTCACTATCTCATTATCCTCAATTTATAGATGAGCACACTTGACTTTGGAAAGACTAAGGAACCGGCCCAACGCTACATGGCTAGTAAGTGGGCAGAATCAGGACAATAATCCTGGTTTGGTCTTCAGAAGTTTCTATAGTTTTCAATTGTCTGTTGACTGTGACTCTGTGAGGTACTAGGCTAGGCTCTGGGAATGTAGCTGTGAATGAGACATGGTCCCTGCTTTGCTGATTTTATCTTTAGGGCAGATAGAGAGTAAGCAGGCTGTGGAAGGGGGAGGGCTTAGGCACAAACTGGAGCTCAAGTGTGGGCTGGACCTGGATTAGGAGTTCCTGCCTAATTCAATGAGGCAGGGATAAGAGCTCCAAGGCAAGAAAGCACAGGGTGCTCTGGGAACCCAGGGGAGAGACCCCTGTCTGAGACGGACCATAAGGGAGTATTTTCCTAAGAGGTAGTCTCCACAGTGAGCTGAAGAGGGAGGGAGTTATCCTGGAGAAAGTGAGACCAGTGCTTTCTAGACCAAAAGAACATCAAGTGTAAAGGCCAGGAGATGGGAAAACACAATATCTCTAAGGGAATGCAAACACTCAGAGATGTGGCTAGAGACCAGATTATCTGTAGGTGGGTGGGCAGGAAGGTCAGAAAGAGAGTGAGAGAGGAAGGTGGAAAGCTCAGCTGGGACTGGACTGTGAAGAGCCACGCAGGCCACCAAAATTGGGATTAATGCTGGGCAACACTGCCACCAAAAGGTTCTAAAGTAGGGTGGTGAAAAGTGGGCTGGTTTGAGCTACTTAGGAGGTAGCATGGACAGGACTTGTGACCGGTAGGGAGACAGAATGAGTCAAGGAAACATCACCAACAAGCACAGCTGCTACTCAAGCAGCCACCATTTATTGAGTGCTCACCATGTGTTGGACACGCAGCCAACCCTTTCCATGCACTACTCCATTTCATCCTTACAACTATCTATAAGTTAACTTCTTCTAGTATTCTCATTTTATGGATGAAGAGACTGAGGCCTGGAGGTGAAGTGATTTGCCCAAGGTCATACAGCAAATGTGGCAGAGCCAAGTTTCAAACTGACATCTGACCCCAAGGCCCGCTGCTCTCATCACTACGGTACACTCCTCCCTGGCAACACCCAGGTTTCTGGTTTGGGCAAATGGGTGGATGGTGGTGCCCTTAACTAGATAGACAATGGGGAAGGGAGAACAGCTTCTCTGGAGAAAGAGGGCAGCTCAGCTTTGGATGTGCTGAGTTTGGGGGAGCCCAACGGCCACTGGTAAGAAATAGCAGGAGGAGACGTCAATGCCCAGTACAGGGAGGAAATGAGGTCAGTGTTGCAAATCAGGAGTCAGCACTGTCTGGATGGCTTCCCTCTCTAGGGAGATGCTGTTGAGAGGAAGAGACAGAGAGAAGAAGAGGAGGTCATAAAGGAGACAGAGAAGAGGTCAGAGAGGAAGGTGGAAACTCTTGAGAACATGGTGTTCCCACTGCCCTTTCCCTGCCCCTGCCTGGCTGAAGATGAAACAACTAAAGAAAACTGTATTTGAAAAAAAAGGAACACAAAGTGTCAAATGTTGCATAGTAGACAAATAAGATGGGAACAGAAGTATAATGTGGCTTTGGCAACAAAAGAGTCCTTGGTGACTCTCTGGAGGGGTGTGGGTGGAAACAGTTTGCACAGTGTTAACAACAGAAGTGAAGACAGTGAGCAGACAGCATTTTTCAAGAAATTTGGTTGTGATGAGAGGGAGGAGGCTATGGGGGTGAGAGAGACTGTAGGCTCAAGGAAGAGCTTGCTTTCTAAAACAGTACTGGGGTACACTGAAAGGTCAATGTGAAACGCTTAGAGGGGAGACTGGAGGTCCAGAGAAAGAGGCCCACTGTTGGACTGAGGAGCAAGAAAGGACTGAAATGGCTTAAGGGAGGAAAAGGGACAATTCTACCATGACAAAAAGAAAGAAAGGAAGTTTCCAGGTGGGGTTAAGAGGCTGACAGAATGCCTGTCTAAGGCTTAGGATTTTTTTTTCCTTGTTGAAGCAGGAAATGACGTTATTTGCTGAAAAATAAGGTGGGGATGGGGAAAGCCTAGTGACAAAAGGGCTGGGGGATGGAAGTGATGAGGAATAAGAGGACTAGGGGAATACAAAAGACCTGCAGGCTTCAGTGAGTGTCAGGCCACAAGGCTGGGGCCCCAAAAGATGATATGCTATCCTTGAGGAACAGAAGTGAAAATGGCAAGATAGAGTCTGGCCCTGGGCTGTGGTTTTTCTTAGTGGGTGTAATGGAAGGGTAAAGGGGCAAGGAATTTAGAGTATTGGCGAGAGAATGACTGAAGGATAAGCCAAAGTGTACAGATTCGTCTGGGAAGACAAGAATGACTGAAGGATGAGTCAAGGTATACAGATTCGTCTGGGAAGACAAGAAAGAGGCACTGTCTACCATGAATGAAGAGGAGAGGGAGGCTAGAGAGGACAGAGGTAGAGTGCACTTCAATGGAACACGGTTAGTACATGAAGGTGAGAGTCATGTTCTTGCAGTGGTGTAAGGAAGCAAGAAAGAGTTTTATCCATCCTTTGAGGTGGGAGAGAATGCGCAGCCCCCCTTGGATGGCTGCTGGGGGAATCTAATCTGTGTTTTGGGGGACAGCCAGATTTCAGTTAGGTCTGGGAGGTGGAGGGATCTTGTTACACCATATTGCATTGCCTGTTTCTATGTCTGCATGCCCCATGACTGTAGGTCTGTGATGGCAGGGCTGTCTTACTCCGGGTCGTTTCCCTGGCCTTGGGAACTAGGCCTGGCAGATAGCAACTGTGCAGTGGATTTTCAAACAAGTGCATAGAGTGGGATGAATGGCAGACTGGAGAGATGTACAAGGTGCAGTAGGAGCACCATGGACAAAGTTACCTGAGAAAGTCTGAAAAGTAGGAAACACTGAGCTTGGAACTGAACTTGGAAGGTTAAGTTTGTCAGGAAGAAGAGACAGGAGATAGTGTTGCTGGTAAAGCACATCAGACTGTATCTGCCAGTCTGACACTGTTGAGTGTGTTCTCTTCTGGGGCCCTAATTGGGCACCACTGCCTTGTGAGCCAGCCAGGCCAGAGAGATCACTGAAGCCTGCTAAAAACTTTGGGCAGGCAACTTTTGGTGGGACAGAGAAAGGGCAGAACGTTTTCTGCAGCAGTAGTGAGACCCTCTGGCTCATGACTTCAGGTTACAGGGAAAAGGATCTTGGTAGTTCTCTGGGCTAGACAAAGATAAAGAATCACTTCTGCTTTTCAGAGTACCAGGGCAAATCTCTTTGGTTGCTGGACTCCCAAGGGTGGTACTGTGCAGAGGCAGTTGGGGTGCAGTCAGATAAGAGGTAATGAGGTGGCTGGGGATAAGCCATCAAGTCCTGGGGTTCATCTGGCAGCAGGGCTGCCCAGGAATAGCTCAGCAGGTCTCCTATCCTCAGCCCTCTGTGAGGCAAACTCAGCCCTGTGGACTTGCTCACTCCCAGGGCTTCAATTACATCTCTGTGCCAGCAACTCCCAGGCCTGCACCTCCAACTCAACTCCACTTGAGTGTCTCATGGGACCCTCTGAGTCAACAGGCCCCAACAGAATTCATTGCCTTCTGCAAATCCCATACTTGCTCAGGGAAAGGCACCACCATCTTTCCATCACCCAAGCAACACCTGGAAACTCCCTTGACTCCTTGAGCCGTCTTTCTTGTACTTGGTTCACTGAGGCCTGTCACTTCCTCTGAAAACCCATCTCCTCTGCTCTCACCCCAGATGCCTTCATTCAAGCATCATCAATCATCTCTCTCCTGAGCCACCATTTCCTGCCTTGAGTATCAAACTCAAGGTTTTCCTGCCTTGAATATCATGCCCTTCAACCTATTCTCCACATTGACATATAGTAATCTTAAAGCATAGATCTGACTGGGTGGATTCCTTGATTAAATCCTACAGGTGACTTCCTCTCACCTGCAGGACTGAACCAAAGTTCTCAGCAGGGCTTATAAGGCTTTCCCTTGGCTGTACTATTGGTCCTGCCCTGCTTAGGGTTTAAGCTTGGCCAGACCATGCTGCTGTGGAATGTGCTGTGTCTGTTACCTGGAGGCCCCCTGGTGAATTTTTATCATTCTTTGTCACTTAGTTATGTGCCATCCTCTCAGTAAAGCCACTTCCAGCATACCTGGCAGGAATGACTAAGTCACCCTCTAATGTGCTTGACCAGCTTTGTGTCAGTCTCCCCACTGGACTGAGCCCTTCCAGGTGAGAACTAACTATACTGTGTCATGCTTTGCTTCCAGTATCTGGAGAAGTGTTTGCTGAATGTATAAGGGGCTGACCGACTGAATCGAGTCCTGGGCTGATGGACTCCACAAGCAGCTTTGGAGGCCAAGACATGGTTTTCTACTAATCACATGTCCCAGGCGCCCTGATCCTAATGCCTCCCAAATTCATCCAGACTTTGCCAGAGTAGTGAGCCATGCCAAAGCCTTTGGCAGCCATCACCATTCATGCCCCAGAAGTCTTTGGGGCTGGGCTGAGGTATTCCTCAGGGAGGAGAGGTGGTAGAGCTGGGCTCCCCCCCACACCCACCTTCTTTTTCAGCTTGTGCCGGGCCCGCTTGGCGGCCCTGGCGCTGTTGGGGACTTTGGGCTCCGTGCTGTTGATGAATTCCAGCAGCTCATCCACATCTCGGTGGTCCACGGCGGGCTCCCCAGGGATCCCGCCCAGGGCTCCCCCCTTCATAGGCAGCTCCTCTTTCCGCCTGGTCAGCCTCGAGCGGAGCTTCTCCCGGATCTCGGTATAATTCCGACTCGTCGGGGCAGCGGGTGGCTGGGGGAGGGGGAGGTGCTGACATTACACCCTGGGCCTAGGAGCCCAATGTACTCCCACCCGCTGGCACCAGAGATGTGGTGAGAAGTGAGACAATTGTTCTCTCTACCATCAGCCACAGAGCCAAATGGCTTTCCCCTCAGCCAGGCTTGGAGCCAGGGCCATAGGGGATACAGGAGTAGGTGGTACACGACAGCGTGGGAGAACACTAACCGGGAACTGGGAGACCAGGTTTGAGCCTGGCTTCCCCACTTGGAGGCAGTATGACCTTGGGCGAGTCACTCAGTCTTTTCGAGCCTCAGTTTTGTCATCTCTAAAATGAGGACAATAATTCCTAGCTCAAAGTTGACTGGAAGTTTAATGACTTTCATTTCTTCTCTCCTCAACTGCTCTACTCTAACCAGCAGCCCTCTCCTCTTCACCTAAGAGGCTCCTGCACTGCTTTCTCCCCCTATCCAGAGAGCATGTGCTCTGATCTGAGCCTCCTGGCTGTCGCGATCTATACCCATGGCCTTCCCCTTGGCTGGCTGTCACACTGGGGACTCAGAGCCTTTGCTTCCACTCTACCTCCATAGATCACAAGTGTTCATTTCTCTGTGATTACACATGTATACAGACTCATCAAAATCATAGCTTTCTCTCTGTCATTTCTTTTCCTTTTGCCTAAGGAAAAAAAGTCAACCTTAAGAGAAACCACAAAAGTGCAAAGGTAGCAAAATTTAAAGAATCCCTACCTCACAAATCAGTTTTCAGAATTACATGAGCAGGCACAGATGAAAAGACTTACATGGTCCCAGCACAGTTGTTATAGAAAGAACAGTAATCAATGTGAGCCACATGGGCCTATGGGGAGAGCAGGGGGCTCCTTTTGCTCACCTTGCTGGCCCCCAGCACTCTCTGGTCCAGGCAGCCTCACTCACCGCATTATGGCCGAAGAACTCACAGTAGCAGCAGTCACAGAACTTCCCGTCTCTCTGGTGGGTGGAGGACGAGGTGCAGGAGCTGCGCTCTGAGCTGCTATCCTCTTCCTCGCCCAGCCCTTCATCTGCCTCGCACGGCTGGGGCAGCTGGCATGCCAGGCCACTGTGTGTAAACTTGTGCCCCTTGCACCCGGGGTCCCTGCTGATGAGGGAGAAAGCCCCACAAGTGAGAGAGGACAATTTGGGAGCAGGCCATAACAGGAGCCCAGAAAAGCATCCCAACCCGTTTATCTTCCCAGCTATCCTTCACCTGCCTCTTTCTACCAAGGTCTGAGGCAGTCAAACTATATTACTACCTCTCCCAAGAACAGGGTGAACACTCTTCACTGTCCCTCTGGGTCCATCCCACACATTGCTATCTGAAGTTTCTCACACCTCCCCTGCCACACCCACCAGTGCATACTCTTCTCAGTAGCCTCATGACACCACCCACAGTTCTCTCTCTCCTACAATTTATGTTTATCTTAATGGTCTGTTTGCCCACTGGTCTCTCAAACCAGACTGTTCCCCAAAGGCAGAGACTAGACCACTTTTATTTGTAGCTTAACAACCTTGCCCACAAAAAGTGCTCAATACGTAGGTGTCTGAAAATAATTAGTGAGCTGATAGCTCCCTTGGAACCTCTAAAGGTGGTAATTGAGGCCAGTTTTCTTTCACTTCCTAAGGTCCTCATGACTCAAGTCTGATACTGTCAACCAGTAGGCTGAGATGCCTTAACCACAGGGCATTAAGTTCAGGAAAATCTAATGTGTTTTCTGGGCTACAGCATATTCTTTCTAACCATACCCCAAATCTTGCAAAATAGGTATGATTAGCCCCATTTTGCAGTGGCAGAAACTGAGGCTCAGAGTGCTTAATTGCTTTGCCCAAGGAAGGGCCATTATGCAGGTTTTGTCTGCAAAGCTCATGTTCTCTCTACTGCATTCTCAGGCTTCTGGATTTCAGGGGGTCTGGGGTTATCTTGTAATACAGAACATTCTTCCAAGGTAAGAATAAGACATTGGCACAAAGGGTCCCAGAACTGGACAGCCCAGGTTCCTCGGTTGGGAAATCAGATGTCCAAGTGCCATGGGGCTAGTGTCAGTGCTGAGGCTAAGGCTCAGGTGGCAAAGGAGCCAAGAATAAGAATGGAGCCCAGGGAGCAGTGTGGCTGCCCTGCTCTTGAGTTGGTCCACTAATCCCTCTGCTGCCAGAAAGACTGGGAAGCACATGGCAAGTGTTTTTTAAAAAAGGGAGGGGGGAAAGGGGCAAGGATCATTATCAGTGTTGCTTATAGAAATTTAATCCAATTTACCATCTTTTATCTATTATATTAGCAAAACTATTTTTAGAAAAATTAGAATACTCAGTGCTCCTGGGAATATGGAGACTCCAGCCCTCTTACTATTGTTGATCACATCAATATGGAGAGCTCTTCAAAAAACAATTTTCAAAGAACAGAAATAAAACAAAACATACTTTAACAGAGAATGTTTTTTCATTTTGAGGAATCTATTCCAAGGAGAAAAATCCAAAAGAGGGAAGAAGCTTCGGCACAGAAATCTTTATACACATTATTCAGAATATTAAAATGCTGGAATGACAAAAGTTCCTCAACTGGAGAACAGTTAACAGAACCATGGTCACTATTCTCCAGCCTTTACAGCTGAGGGTTAGGACGACCACAAAGGACCGTAAAAGTGCTTATGATATGACGAAAAGTGAAAACCAGAGAATGTGAAACTGTACAGACACCATCAACACTGGGTGTGAACAACATATATGGAAACACATTGCTCAGCAGGGTTGTTCAAGGGGAGTGGGATTGTAGAGTGGGAAACTGTAAATGCAAAATAAAGAGTTCTGGTTTATAACACAAAAACATTTATTTGTCTCCTCCAAAGAATAATATCTTTTCAATATATATTTGTAAAACCTTTCTCAATACTTAGGTACTTCACTTAAAGTTACTTTTAGGAACCTACCTTATGGATATTATTCCTGATTCAAAGATTTAGGTGCAAGGATGCTTTTACAGCCTTATTTACCTATAATGCTCCAAAACTGGAAATGCATTTATGTCCAGGAATATCATTAAAAATCCCCACTGCCATCAAGTTGATTCTGACTCACAGTGACCCTATAGGACAGAGCAGAACTGCTCCATAAAGTTTCCAAAGCTGTAAATCTTTATGGAAGCAGATTACCTCATTGTTCCTGCAGAGCTGCTGGTGGATTTGGATTATCGACCTTGTGGTTAGCAGCTGGATGCTTGATGCTTTAACCACTGTGCCACCAGAGCTTCTTATGTCCAGGAATAGGGGAATGATAAAATGAATTATGCTAGAGGTACACAAAAAACATTATGTGGCCACTGAAAATTTTTTGAAGAATTTTACTTGGGAAAATGCTATGGGTTAACGAGCTCAACTGCTAAGTGAAAAGTTGACTGTCTGAATCCACCCCCAGGAACTTTGGAAGAAAGGCCTGGTGATCTACTTCTGAGAAAAATCAGCCATTGACAGTTCTACTCATACACACATGGGGTTGCCAGAAGTTGAAATTAACTTAATGGCAACTGGTTGGTTGGCTATGATATAATGTTAAAAAAATAACTAGCCCAAAACACATGTAGAATATGGACCTAATTATATTATTTACATACAGAAATGTAATGAAAATATACTACCCTGTTAGAAGTTTATCTTTGGGGTGTGAGGACATTTTTTCCTTCTTTGTACATTTCTGAATTATTCCTTTTTTTTTCCCCTCATTTCTTCCATAACTCAGGGGAAAAAAAAAGTGTAAACTTTAATTCCCACCCCAAAGGCACCTTTTACAAAGTTTCTCAAAACTCTGAGCTCAAGCCAGCCAGGGAGTTTGCCCTTCATTACTGTATACTTACTCACCTGTGAGTGCTGGGGAGTTGCTGAGAGCTTGGTGGTGGGAGGAGAGGCCCACTGCAGTGCCCACTGCAGGGGTGGCTGCACCCCGGGAATGGTGGAGGCATCTTTAGGAGAGGCATGCTAGTAGAGGGCAGGTGGGGGCTCTGACATGCCCCTGGGGTGTGGGGGGCAGTGGCAGTGGCAACAGGGCACTCGAAAGCCTGGGTGGGGAAAGGCGCTGCTGGGGTGGTGGGCAGCAGGTGGGAGTGGGGGGGTGAGCCAAAGGATCCAGGGTGAGATGGGATCAGAGATGCTGGCTGGGGATGGTGGCCAGTGGGACTATTAGGAGGGGCAGTGAGGTCTGAGTGCCGGTAGTGCTCCGAGATGGGGAAAGTCTCACCTGTGGGCAGATGGGGAGAAAGGTATCAGTGTGGGCACCCAGCCCTGGGGAAGGAAAGTCTAAAGGCTCACTGCTACAGCATCCTGCCTGCTGTGACCAGCATAACCCACTGTTCTAGGCATTGCCTCTCTGCACTGCTGGCCCTGGAGCTTTTGGGAGTACTCTGTGGTGTCTTGGGCTGGGAGGAATCTTTGCAGGACAGACTTGAGGAGTGCAGGCCTGAGGGAGAAGGCACCAGGAATGCTGGCCACTGAGGGCAAGGCACCTCTGCTGTGGCATGAACAGGGAATATGTGTTGTCTCTCAGGGCCTCTCCAGGATTTGCTTGTCCCTGGGCATCTCTCAGATCCAGGGCAGGATCTACAGAAGCCAACAGAGCAGCAGGCCAAGATTCTGCCTCTGAGCCATGTAGGCTGAAGCAGCAGGGTCTGAAAGACACCTAGGTGGCCCAGGTTTCAGTAAACTGGGAAAAGGCTTTAATGATTCTCTCTGGCTTATGCACCAAAATAAAATGAAATTAGGGACTGCTCAACTCTCCCAAGTTCTGGAGACAGCACCACTTCACAGAACTCAGTCTCTTTACTTAAAATTATATAGTAAATCTTACTTACATAGTAAATCAATAACCTAAGAATTTCTTTTCTGGGTCTCTAAGGGCTATCTCAGAGAGTCTAAAGAGGGTTTATATAGCTACTAAACTGGCTAATAATCATGGCAGTTTCCTTTGGATAGAAGTACAGGGCTTTTATACTCATTTCTCAGGTGAAGAAAATGAGGCCTCTATGGTACTACCTTGATGTCACCTTGAGGACTAAGGTGTGCCTGACTCAAGCCATGGTATTTTCAATCACCTCATATGCATTCTTTAAAAGCTAGACAAAGAATATGGAAGACTGAAGAAGAATTGATGCCTTTGAATTATAGTGTTGGTGAAGAATATTGAATATACCATGGATGGGTAGAACAACAAATAAATCTGTTCATTCTCCTTGGAAGAAGTACAGCCAGAATGCTCTTTAGAAGTGAGGATGGTGAGACTTCATTTCACATACTTTGGACATATTATCAGGAGGGACCAGTCCCTAGAAAAGGACATCATCCTTGGTAGAGGGTCAGTGAAAAAGAGGAAGATCCTTAATGAGACAGACTGACATAATGGCTGTAATGATGGGCCCAAATATAGCAACGATTGTGAGGATGACACAAGACTGGGCAGTGTTTTGTTCTGTTGTACATGGGGCTGCTATGAGTTGGAACCGTTCAGGGGCACTAAACAACAATAATATGCTGCTACAGGGGTCAGGAGTGTGATCTAAGTCCTAATTCCCAAGGGCCCTTTCAGACTTCACTTTCTGTTTAGACTGTGCTCACCAGGTCCTCTCCTGGATCCAATGATGAACAGCTATCAAAGCCAATGACAGCTCTCCAGACAAACTGTTCTCTATCAGCAGTACTTTTTGAAGCCAGAGTCCCGAGGAAAGGAATTCCACAGATGGTCAAGGTTTAGGTCTCCCCTCTGCTACAATCCTAACAATGCTGACTTGATCATCTAATTTGTTTGAACAAAGTGGTTTGGAAAACACAGCTCTGCCTATTTGTGGTTCCCCAGACCTATCTCACAGCAGCAAAACCCCTTGTCTATAATTCTTCACAGGGCAGTCAAAGGCCTGGCTCTCTTGAGCTTAGAAACTCACCGGGTATGGCAGGAGGACTCCCGAGTGAGCTGCCTGGCATGGCCCCACTGGAGTGCGGGGAGTTCCAGAGGCCCGAGAGCTTATGTGCTGACAGGAATGAGCTGGGATCCCAGTCCCCTGAGTTCCCATGGCAGGAGGACGAGGATGAGGATGATGAAGAGGAGGACGAAGAGGAATGAGAGTCACCCCCACAGGACTGTGATTTGCAGGATGTGTGTGACAAGGAGATCTGGAGAAGGGGGAAGAAAAAGGCTCAAGGAAAAACAGTAAATATCAGAGTAGGTCCTGTGCTGCCTAAGGTTACCCAAGGGGAGACCCTCCTTCCCCTGGCTACTGTGCCTGCAAAGTATAATGACTGAACTCTCAAGTGCAAGTGGAAATGATAGGCAGGTCTTTGCTGGCAGTGTGCTCCCAGTTAAGTGAAGTGTGTGGTTGTCAGTAAGAGAGGGGTAGAGATGGCTTGTGAACTGTGGGCCTTTGGGGAGCAGTGAGAGCAAAGCCATGGAAGGGTAGGGGAAGGGGGTCTCTATGTCAAGAGTCCTAGAAGTGAACTGATTCTGGGTAAAAGGGGGTCTGGAGAGGAATGAGATATGAGAAAAGTCTAAGCCTGGCCACCGTGATTCATGAGATGGCCAACTTAGATCACGTCTAGTTATTCTGGAGGCCTTCTAACTGAGGTACTGTTCAGACCCACAAACCAGCCCTTGCTTTCCACAACACATCGATTGGCTTCCAAGCTGCCAGAGCTGAAGGCAGCATGGTGAATGGCAAGGGATGGGTTTTTGTCCTGAGGGACTGACTGAAGGCTTTCTCTTCTTCCCCCAAATCTGAACCCAAGCCATTAATGTTGTGTCAATGCAACCTAGCAGCCTCTGGGCACCTAGGGCTTTGGGGCTGCCCAAGTAGAGCCACCTGAGAGGCCAGGGTAGGGACAGCTTAACTTCTTCGGGGAGGCAGTTTTCCTGCATTCAGGGATTCCCCTCTCAGTCACCTACCGCCACTGCGTGTTCTCGACCAGTCTGCCTTTCATCTTCCTCCATGCTCTTTCGGCAACTGTGGCAGACCCACAGAGGCATCTCCCCTAGGAGGTTCTTGACGAGCTTTGGCATGAAGTCAGGGGGCAGCTTCTCACCCTGTAACACCAGTCCATTTTGAGAAGGGCCTTCTTCCCAGCCTTTGCGTTCCCGATGACACAGTAGGCAACAAGTCTGCATAGACTGGCTGGAGGTAGGGGGAACCTGTCCAACAGACAGAAACAGGGTTTCCCAGGAGGGGAAAGACTCTACTTAGAAATAATACTAATGATATCAATAATTTTACTTATTACATGCCAGGCACTGTGTTAGGCACTTTATATACATAATTTTAGTCCTTGTAACAGCTCTGCAAACTAAGTGGTATTATTCCCATTTTTTTTTTTTTTTTAAGATGAAGAAACAGATTTCAAGAAGTTAAATAAATTGCCCAAGGTTATAGAATTAGTGAGTGAGTGAGTGAGCTAGGATTTGACCTCCCATCAGTCTGACTCCTAAGGCCGTACTCAAATCCCTAGAAATGCCCTGATACCCCTGAATGTTGAAGGCCAAAGAGAAGATAGTCCCTTTCTCTCTGGCATGTCTGTGAGGAACCACAATTCTCCAGACCAATCCTCAATGGGAAAGAAAGTAAGTTTTTAGTCAATGGAGAATTTGGGAGCTTGTGTGAATTTTTGGAAGAATTACGCAATTCCACTAGGATCAGAGCAGCATTTTGGGGGAGGGGAAGGGAAAAGGGAAAGGAAGGCAGATGCTAGTGCTTTGAAGAGGCAGGAAAGTATGGTGTAAAGAACCTGGGTTTTGGGGCCAGGTAGACCTGAATTCTAATCCCTGTTTGACAACGTATTAGCTGGGTGACCTTGAGCAAGTTATTTAACTTCTCTGACTTCCAATTTCCTACCTACCTTGCAGAGTTGTTGTGAGGATCCACACATATTCAGGCAAGTGCCTAGCCCAATTCATGCTCACAGCACAGGCCAATAAACAGTATTATTATTATTTGGGGTTTTCTCTTTTCTTCTAGGATAAACTTGACTAAGAAATACAAATCTGTAAGTCTCCTTTCATATAGAGGGGTACTAACTGGGAGATTGCTTTCCTAGATCCTGTAACTCTGTGGTCTCCTTCTACTCTATGCTGGGCTTGGCCAGGCCACTTTCTTTGGCCAATGGAATGTTAGCAAAAGCTTGAAAGTGTGTATGGACTACTTTCTGGCATGACTAGGCTTGCTCACTCTTGCACCTCTGTCATACCTTGAGAACATGACCAGACTAGATACTGGAGGGAGGTGAGAAAACAGAGAGTTTTCCAGCTGAGACCATCCTATACCAACCTCTACCAGCTCCCAGCTTATCTACCAGCTAATCAGAGATACAGAATGAGCCCAGCTGAGATCAGCCAAGCCCAGCCCCATATCAGCAGAAACACCCAGCCAACTTGGACTCATGAGAAATAATAAATGGTAACATTCTAAGCCACTTAATTTTGGGGTGCTTTGTTATGCAGCAATAATTAACTGATACACCTTCCAAACTTATCTACCATTAGGTAATAGGTGTTTGCAAAGGCCTAAGCAAGCAAAAACAGGTACTGCTCTTATTCTACCATTAAAACCAATGCCATTTTCTTTCTTGAATAAAATCACCTTCTCAAAAAAGTTGGCATCAGTCTCTTTAATCTTACACTTACACTGACCTGGGTCCCTGGTTTCTTGAAAAAGAAAGGAATCAAAGAGTGGTGCTAAGAGCATAACAACACATTGTGGAAATACGAGGAATTTGGAAGAGTACCAGAAAGAGAGAGAGAGAGAATTTAACATGTAGAACTCACATGAGATCCCGCCTAGACAGTCTCTGCCACGGAAACATGTCAGTGAGCAAGGCAGTTGCTTAACAGCAGCTGCAAAAGGAGACAGCCTTTTAAACCCTATCCATGGTGAGTAAGTATCCCTTGGAAAAGGATGAAAGGCTGACTGAGAAGGATGGTGCATAGAGAAGTTAAGGCCAAGAAGGTCTTTTTTAGAATTGCACCCAGGAAACTTTCCACAGCTCCAAGGAGCCACAGTCACTCTATGTGGAGGAGGTGAGCCAAAGCCCAAACACCTTTCCCTGTAATGGTGACCATATTCTTAAGGCAAACACCAACCAGGACATGTATTTTTTACTACAATAGACTTTACTTTGAGTTTTAGGTTCTTTTGTCACTATTTGTATAAATTATTCTTGAAATTCTTTATATGGCCTGTAAAGTACAATATATGTAGTTTTGTAAGTGCAACCAAGAATTTAAATGTATAATGTATCTAGTAATGTACATTTGTTTGTTTCTGTTCTCTTTTTAAAAGCAAATACTGAATTCTAGTAAGTTAAATGTATGACCGGTATGACTGTACTTAGTGACAGTGTATTTGTGGGAGGTGCTGGGGTGCAGGGGGAACAACACTGTATTAATGGCTTCTGTATTAATCCTGGGCTTCCATCATGCACCACCTGTATGGTGGGTAAGTTCTACTCACCCTCTGTGTTTCCTCATCTCTAAAATAAGATTAAGTCCTAAATTGTGGGGTTGGCTGAGAAAAATAAATGTGATACAACACCTAGTTCAGTGCCAGGCAGATAATAAGTTCTTCAATAAATGGTACTAATTATTAACATTATGGGAACAATGAGAAACAATATTTAAAATCAGGACTAGGGTTGAAAACACAGAAAATAAGGTCTGTGTATCTCTCACATGGCATGAATCTAAGGTGACTTGTTGGACACCTTTATCTCTTTCCTCAATCCATGAAGTAATTCCTTAAGCTCCCCAAATACTCTCCGCATCCTTCCATCTCAGGACTTTGCTAAAGAGGATCCTCTGCTTAAAACCTCCTTCTTCCTCACCTTTAGTAATAAGTAGCTGGGAAAGGCTTTAAGGCCCAGCTTAAATCCAGCCTCTTCTAAGCTTTCCTATAGAGTCCCTCTTATAAGTCATCTCTCCTCTTCCATATTCCCACAGCTAACTGTGCCTTGATTGTATCATTTGTACTCTGCATGTAATTTATTTACCTGTATCTGTCTTGTCTACTAAAGTGTGATCCTAGAAGGGAGGCAACAGCTCTGATTCTTGTCTGGATCCCTTACAGTATAGCAAAGGGCCTGGCAGAGGGCATAGGCCTAGGTAGGCACACAGTAGCTAAACCAGATTTGTAAGGTTCTCCATGGCAGTAAAGGCACCAGGGACTTGTGAGACATGGCTTGCAACAATAGCTTTCCAATGAGAAGGGCCATCTCCCCATACTGAACTTCTACCCAAATGGTTCCAAACTCAAGAGTAGAAGCCCACATTCTTCAGGGATTATAGTGAGATGCCGTCAATTCATGGAAATAATGTGACTCTCCTTAGAACCAAACTGGTACATACGATAAATGAGATGAGCCGTCAAAGGAAGTGATTCTATAGGACAGGCTATCTCCCTAATTGTAAGAAGAAACACTAGGCCTGAGAAGCTAATTAAGCCCTAACTGAAACAGGGCTGACAGCATCTATATTTCATGAAGTTGCCCAGAGGATTAAGTGACATTACAGGAGCAAAACACTTAGCTCAAGGGATCCTCGAAGTAAATATTCGATTTGGCCCCTGGCTGTTCTGTTCTTAATAAATCTACAGTGGAAACTGGTTTATCCATTGTCCTCTCTGAGTTTGGTATACATGAATCATTTCTAGGCCCAGGCAGTTCTGGGGGCCACCCTCAAAGCTCTGGTGCCTGCCCTTGGGGACAATGCCTAGTGAGGCCTGGGGATTTTTCTCTCTCACTAGATCATCTTTGCTCTAACTGCCAGAAGTTGGTAGAAATCCCAAGCCTTAGACATTCTATAGTCAGTGAGTAATACCATTGTTACTTCAGATTTCACTTTGGTAGAGAAAAGCTCTCAGTTCCGAGTTCCCTTTGGCTGAAATCTCCTGTCATTCCCCAAATTCCTGTCAATCATGACAGGAATCATTCCATGTCAATATTCCAAAGAGCCAGTTAACCCAGGCTTTTGACTAACTGTTCTCAAGATGTAGTCTCAGCACCTGGCATAGTATTTCCACACAGAGAATGTGCTCAGTAAATGTATACTGAATGAAGGAAATAGTCAACCACTTTTCTTCCTCATAAAGGCAGATGAAACAGTTTCTTAAACTCAGCAGCCCTGGAACTAATTGTTTCTTCTCACTTCAGCATAAGTTTTAAACCCTCTCTGGATACAGGTCTAGCTGTAAGCAAAGACAAGGAAAGGCTATAGGGGTCCTCTTGATTCTGGATCTGCTTAAAAAAGCTCCAAGATAATTCTGCTTCAATCTCTCGGGATACTCTTTGAGCAAAACCAGAATTTCTGGAGAGTTTGGGGTTATTCACATGTGGACTCATGCTGCATCACCCACATGCCCAGAGCAGCCATTAAAATCAGTATCTCTTCTCCCTTACCTGACTAAGTCCAAGACTTTTCTGGCCTAGGCCTGATAAGCATAAACTTAGGGCATTCTAGTTTTTCCTGGATGAAAAGAGATAAAATCAAAGGAAAGAGGGAGCTGACCATGTAATCACTTTATTTTCTGCTTTACATAATGAAGTTTGGCTTCTGGTTGGGAAAAAACTGAAGTAGTAGGAATTCTTTGGAGCCAGCACACCCTGGCATACTCTTGAAATGCTTTGTTACATTATTTTATTTCAGTGCCTGTCTCTTCTGTTAGATCAGAAGGCAGGAACTATGTTTTATTCAACTGTTTTCTTTAGCACACTGGACCCGTGCTAGCTCTAGTGATACACTGTGCTTCATGAATGTTTACTGACTGCTCCTGTGAAGATATAAATACAAGAATAGAGCATCCACAGTCTCCCAGAGCCTCAAGCATCAGAAAACAGACTGTGGTGCAGGTGACTTACCACAGACCTTAGAACAATCTGTTCTCACTCAGATAATGGGAGTAGAGGTCTTTACATGTATTTGGTACAAAGTAGTGAGATGAAATGCAGAATGGAAAAGGAATGTGCTTACTGTGTTTAAATCTGGGCTATGGGGCCAAGTGGGGACTGAAACCCCAGCCCTCCTGTGTTCAATGAGACTGTAAGCCTGCCACACTGCCAGGAGGAAGGGATGCTACTTCTTTTTCAAAACAACAACAAAAACCAAAGGCAGCTTGGCCACAAGCCATGTTTGCTTTGGTCTAAAGAAGT